AACCTATCTCGCCATGATAACATACAATTTTTACTATGTCGACTTGTCAAGATAATCTATTTCGCCATGACAACATACAATTTTTATTATGTCGACTTGTCAAGATAACCTATCTCGCCATGACAACATAACATTTTCAATATGTCGTCTTGGCAGGATAGTTCATCTCGACATGTCGACATGATAATGTCTATTATGGCGACTTGACAACATAAATTATCTTGACAACTCGTCAAGTCGAATGGCACTTAGGTGCTTCCGTATGTATAATAAAGAATCACGAGGAATATGCTATATATTTTATTTATATTTATTTTATTGTCACTGTCACATCTTTCGGACCACTTTCAAGTGATTTGAGCGAATTTGTTCTCTTTGGAAACTCCACCACCCAATTTCTATTTCAGATGCGTGTATTCGCAATGTAAATTAATACCTTAACTAATCAAATAACAATAAATTATTATTTATTATTTTTATTATTAATATTATTAAAAATCGTCGTTGTCACACTTTCAATGCCAAGTCGGAAAAGTAAAGTGACTTGTGATTTTTTCAACGTAAATTAGCTTTTACATATTTTTTACTGATTATGCTATAATTCAGCTGTGAAGTTCAGTTGGACATAAGGTACATGCTCGGTTGTATAAACTTTAGTTACTTTATATTTAATAATTGTTTACCCCTTAATTTTACAGACCTATTTTTATAAATATTATCAATGGTACAAGCTGTTTAGATGTCTTAAAAGAATGTTACTTTTTTTTTTTATCACAAAACAGAACAGGTTGCCCTCATTCAATAAATAAGTAAATAAATAATGGTCTAGAAAAGTGAAAAGAAAATAAGTCGTGACAACGGTCGTACATGCTACCCAGCCAAAACCACAAAAAAAGGAAGCTGTATGTTTATAACACATAGGCCTGTAGTATACTACACACAAATTCAAGGTAAAACAAATGAATAGCTTTACAAAACATGTAAGAGCTAGAGACAAGGTCTCCTATCCCCAAGCCACGAATAACTTCACAAAAGAAATGCCAGTAAATGTCAATACAGTTTTCAATTTATACTGCTTATGCGGACGTAATAATATGAGCACCAATTTTTTCCCGCCTTATTATTGCTAGCCTAATTACTGTCGCTGTAAAGGAAATTAAGTTTCACCTAACCTTCCCATCATGCTCGCTGTAAAGTGACGTGATTTTTTTCAACGTAAATTAGCTTTTACATATTTTTTACTGATTGTTTATGCTAGATAATTAGGCTGTGTCGTTAAGTTGAGCATAAGGGACATGCTCGATTGTATAAACTTTAGTTACTTTATTTTTTTGAAGGAATACATAGACATATTTAATAATTTTTGCCCCGGAAGAAAGTGTTTGTGTCCCATAGGCTCTGATCATCCAGACCACGAAATACTAAAATTCGCCGGGAACTAAAATTCGTGCTACACTGGCCTACTGAACGTTGTTCCCAATACTGTAATCTGTTACACATAATAAAGATCAGGCGTACTCGGCGCGTTTGTTTGACGTGTATCGCATTGCTCTGACGAGTGTGCGAGATCATAAGCTTTTTTAAAGTCTAACAGTAAAACTCTCATCTCATGACCTGAGTCGGTGGCAAGAAAACTCTCATTGAGAAATTTTTATTCTTTGTTTTTGTGATTTTCATTTTTAATGCTGTTATTTCTTTTTTCTGTATCTGTGATTGGTGATGGGCCAATCAGCACCGCTACAGTGATTCACTTCACTTTGGTTGGCCCTGGTCTTTCAAATAGTGGATTAATAAAATAAACCGAAGTATGTGTGACAGTTGGTTATATTTAAAAATAATCTGTTATAATATATAACCTCGTCTTAAATATTCCTCATAATATAATATATGTTAATTTCAATTCAACAAGTCAATTAATGGAAATTATTCTAAGTCGCACTTGCGAAGCTAACATTCAGTATTATATATTACTTTGCCTTATAAAAACATTGTAACAAAGTATTTCAATAAGGCAGTACTGTATGCGTTCATAAGAAAGAATTACAAAATAAAAACGTACCGTACAAAAATGTTAATTCGACTAATCAATGGGTAATACACATGCTTTTCGTTGAATTATAAATAACATAAAATATGTTAATACTAAAATACTAATTGGCGATGAATTATTGATGAATGGTTATAAGAAAAATTAGGCCCAATGTAAATCGATCTTATTAGATGTATAATCAGTTACTTATACTTTTTAAATGATATATACCGTATTGGTTGATTTAAATCAGCCTTACTCTTAATTTCAAATGTCTAAACTTACAATAATAATAATAATAATAATAATAATATTAATAATAATAATAATTACAAGTAAATTGTAACAATGATCTCGAAATAGAACTAACACGATAGAGGTTAATTTCAAATAGCGGACTGATATATTGTATGTGTGTGACAATCAGTTATTTAAATATGACATGTGTTAAAATGATTCTTAAATAATACTATTTATTTTAATTTAACAAAATAATTAATGGTGAAAATACAATTCTTCTTGAGAAATGACAATAATATAAATAATTAAATGATATGGGTAAACTTGTATACAGATACAGATACAGATTAATTTTATTGTCCAATAATTTGGAAATTACATTGCTCACTTGCTATTTAATTACTTAATTATCTTCTTGAATACTTTCAATTAAACTCCCTTATCCCAGCTGGGTAAAATGCGTACTTGTAACGGTCCGTGTACGCACCCACTGTTCTCATTCTACCACCCTGCTTATGCGGGAGCCGATCATATACGCGTGGAGTGGATGGCATCCTCTAGGATATTTTAAAAAACAATGGCAAAGCCGTTTGTGGTAGAATGAGTCCAGTGACTGCACAGGCGTACCAATAACTTTCCCCACTCTACCCATTAACCTTTCTATTCTCTCTTTATCCCCTTTACTAATATTCCCAGCCCACCCTAACATACAATACCCCCAAATACAAAACATCACCGATACGTAGAACATCAAACGTAATATGTCCTGCTAAACCCCCAAATAACCTAGTTTTTTTCTAAGAGAGTTTAATTTCTTAACTACAAAATCAGTATGATCCCTCCAACAATAATAAACATTAACGAGGATAAGTAAATACATAAGACGTTGATACAATTTTAGTAACCTCAGAATGTGGTAACTATAATTATGGTAACTAATAGGCTCTGCTGCGCACGTCAGAAATCTTGGTTTTACTTTGCATGCATGACAATGAGTAGACATATTTCAAATATCATTTCAACATTTTATTTACGTAACATTAGAAACATTAGGAAATATATTGACGATGCAGCTGCTGAGCAACTAGTTCACTCAATTGTTACTTCACGCCTTGACATGTGTAACTCGCTCTTGTATGGACTTCCTCAAAAACAAATCCAACGGCTTCAACTCATTCAAAATGCTGCTGCACGTGTAGTTACCAAGTCACCTAAGTACTCTCATATAACAAATACTATGAAATCATTGCATTGGCTCCCGGTACAACACCGCATTGTTTTTAAGATACTATTAATAGTTAATGTTTAAATGGTTTGGCTCCTGACTATGTTGCCGACATGATTCGGCCTTATATTCCTGGGCGTAACTTGTGCTCATGTGACAAACTATTTTTACACTCTTACGGAGATCGAGCTTTTGTATTGCTGCTCCTCGTCTTTGGAACGCTTTGCCTTACTCGGTCAAACCACTGTTTCTTTGCTCTATGGTCAAACACAGTAGATCTTTAAACTTGTTTAAAAAAACGTTAAAATTGCATCTCTTCAACGAGGCGTATACATTGATGTTTCTTTGGTGAATTTATATTTTTAAAATATATATATATATAAAAAAAATGATACCACTTTTTCTGTCGACGCAACGCAGCTCCTGTTGCAGTGCACGGTAGTGGAGCCCCGGGCTTATCATGGGGAAGGTGCTGATGCTCAACATACTGCCTTTGAGTATCTGCGCATACTTATATGGGGAGCAACATTGCCTCGATGGGATAATTGATATTTGGATTTTGTTGGAAATTCTGGGAATTAGTTGGATCTTGTTGGTTTAATTGTCTATGCGCCTTGAGCGCCTTGGGTGGAGATGTGCACTTTATAAATCTTTATTATATTACGCTTAGTTATTTTAGAAACTAAACTCGAAAAAACATTCATATTTTAGCTAATAAGTATCTTATATTTTAATCACTTAGATTGTATGGTTTATTAGGCTAACAGTTTGAATTTTAAAAATAATAATAATGAAAAAAAAACAAATCGGCAGTTTACAGACGTACAAAATAATACCGTTCCAACAAATGTTCTTTGCGTAAATTATTGTCCATTAGGTATTCATTCTAAAGACTTCGTACTAAAAGATCCGTCAGCTATAACTGTTCCTTTTTTATATTAAGTGTTGTATTTATTTTACTTGTGCTCTTCTTTTTATATTAATTAGGCCTACTTCAATTTTCTGTACTGTAAATTAGTTTAATGTTTATTTGTGAAAACAATTCGACTTACATGCGCCATAAGTACTGTATTCCATTAAAAAAAATATATACATGGTTCACTCTAACAATTTAAAAGCCATATAATAGGGGCCTGCTATATTGTATTAACAAGATACATGGACATGCAATATCATTTTTTAACATAAACCATGACACAAACACTAGGCCTATAAGTTTATGACAAGTCGTATCCTACTCCCTTTTGCAAATCGCCTATCAATATAACAGTAGGCCTGTTTGTTATTTATTTTAACTTTTGTTACTAAAAATTTTAATTAATGAAATACATTCAAATGAATGTGCGTATTATAAGACACATTGTAGCTGTTAGTAATATAATATAATTGTTGGATATCATATAGTTGGATATTGGAATATCATTGTAGGCCTACCATTGAAATTATGAAATTCGTAACTAATGTTGGCAGTTGTAGGCTATAACCTGTATCGTAATTCAGTATTATGTTTGTTTTCATAGTTTGGCCGCACGCCATTAATGTACGCTGTGAGATATTACGCACCAGATGACTTGGTGGAGAATATGATTAAATCAGCGTCTGTAGAGAATTTAGAACAACAGTCGGTGAGTGAAATTAAATATCATTGCATTTTAAACATCACAAGCACACAACATGTATACACATCATACAGCATACGAACAACTACAAGTTAATTACAGAGATTTATTTCATGTTCAGTTAAAATTGAGACCCATATTTTATGATATATTTGACATTTTTTACAACACTGAAAAGGCCTATGTATCGTGAGTGGATTTCCCGTACGATTAAAAATCGTAACGGTACTGGGTTTGGTCTACAGGAGTTCGTGCTTCGAACAGGTCATTCCATTCATAGAAGAAGCCTTTTGATGGAGAAAGTGTACCTTTTTAGCAAAGGTTTGCCTAGGTCGAAACTAACCCCGGCTATATAAAATTGATTATAAGATAGTAAAATATTAATCTTGTTATTGTACTACTACTGGGCCTAGTAGTAGTGATAGATACTATGTACACGTTTAATTATTGTTATTTATTCGTTATGTCATTATATATACATTTAAAATTAATGTATTGTTTAAGTATGAATTATTAGTTCATGTAAAAAATAATCTTATCAATGAAAATTGTATATTTTAAGTATTATAATAGGCATAGTCGAGGTCTAGCCTAGGCCTAAACGAGTGACTATAACATGTGAGTGTATAACATTATGGAAAAAAAACAAAGCGTAAAATTGTGAAAAAATAAAGGAAGAAGGAAGAATAGGAAAGAGATTTGGGGCGGCTGAAATATTTCCGAAAATATACAATAGTAGTCAATATGCTATTAATGCATTACGTTTTTGTCAACAATTTTGGGCACTAATCGTCAGAGGTCTCGGTGCCACAGCCTACACTTTTCATAATTCGAAATATTGTAATGATGAATGTAATAAGTAATGTGTGATGTTTGTGAGTTGTTATGTGCTGTTGATATGTAGTGTGTGTGTAGTTTGTTGTTTTGATTATTACTTGTTTCTTATCATATTTTACATTTTTCTTGTAGCTTAATATGGGTTTTAATATTCTCCATGACTTGACGGCCGGCGCACGACCCGTGTCAGCAACGAGGCGCGTATTGGAAAAAACAAACAAGATGATTAACACGCAAAACATCGTGGGTACCAGTAGAAGAAAACAGCACTTTATTTAGATACAAATACAGATTAAATTTATTGTCAAATGTACATGTAAACATACAATGAAATAGTATCGGCTCGATGAACGTAATATAAATAATTTAAATAACATGAATAACAACTATACAGTGAGACAAACATTTAATTTCTGGATACCAGATACATTGCTAACAAATTAACATATATTCACTCACAAACACACTCAATACATTATTTTCTAATTTAGTAATAGTAATGCTAACAAATTAACAATAATTCACTCACAAACACATTCAATACATCACGTTTAATTTAGTAATAGTAAGGTAATATACTTGAATATAATACCGAATTCTAATTTATTAAATTTACAACTAGTTGCGGTTATGTTTTTTTTAATTATTGCAATTTTTATACCTTTAACGACTAACTACTGGTGTCATTTATTAAAATATAATTAGTCTTTGCCTGTGATATTTTCATCATCTTCATTATTATAATCATTATTATAATACATCTTAATAATAATAATAATAATAATAAATTATTATTATTATTATTATTATTATTATGATAATAATAATAAATTATTATTATTATTATTATTATTATTATTATTATTACATATTACATTGGTGATAATTAAGTATTATGGTTAGAAATTATTTTAGGTAATTTTATGTTGGCGTAATATTTGTTAATTTATATTCTTGTGTTGTGCGTGTACAAAAAAAACTTGACGTTGAATATCATTTCATGGCAGGAGGGATGGACACCACTACATAACATTCTCAATGAACGTAGGTTTAGTTACAAGGAACACAGAGAACTTGCAGTGTGCCTGCTCGCCTATGGAGCATCTCTCTCTTTAAAAAATAAGGTAATGTGCAGAAAAAATGAAATGCATCAAAAGAATATCAGTCAATGACCTTAATACAACAACTGTGTATGAAACTAATATAGAAATAATTTTACTAATTAAAACCAACGTAATAAGTATAAATTCATAAAATATGAAATCGATTAAAATCATAACGAATAATGATAATGATTTCATTTTGAAGATTGATTTTGATAAATATTTTTATTTGTGATGGTAATATACAAATAAATATTTATAAAGTAGTAATGATAATAGTGTTGATTATTTACTATTTTATAATCATAATGGTTATTAAACAAAACTATATCACTGTTTTCTGTTTTAATTTGCAAACGTCTCGCAATGAAATAAATCATCGCATGCTCATGCATGTTATATGTCTGTTATTGCAGTGGAGAAGGACGCCTCTTGATGAGTATGATGACAACAAATGTCAAGAATACGAAGAAACCACTAGAAGCAACAAGAAGAAAGAATTGAAAGAACTACTTAAAGGTAAATTATTGACCTTTTAACAACATTTAACATACACATTTATTCTATTACATTTTTACATTTATTTTCTAATAATAGGCCTAATTATACCATGGAGGTATTATTGAGAAGGAGATCGCTCGAAAATACTACGCGCACGCAGCGGTATGCAAATGAACTGAGAACAAAGCTGCCGCAGCACGTGAAGAATGTTTGCGCGATGTCTTTGAAGTCTGATGTGTTCCCCGCCATCAACTTTTCAGCAGGCGTAGTTTACCAAAAAATTGAACATGGCGAAATGGAGAGCACCTTCTTTTCTCGATGCGTACTATATAAGTCAATCACTATGGCTGCGCAATCGTTTCCACAATAAAACTAATACATTGATCTTTTAAGAAATACCAAACATAATAATATTTTCTATAACAAAAAGTTTCGAATTTAATGAAATATTTACATCAGCTTTAAAGGTATGGTATATTAAAACTTGAATTTCCATAAATTGGATAAAACTCGATAATTCTAATTTTAACAGATATTAATTAAGGGGTGATGGAGTTATAATAAACTAAGTCATTTTAGGGTTAACAAATAGAAAATTTAATCCAAAATCAGAGTAATTTTCATTTTTACGCTGCCTTAGCTTTATAGTTGAACCAGGCGATTTTTAGACAAACTTATAATGAACACAGAAGTAATTTTAACAGAAATATTTTACAGAATCTGTTCCTGAAATATACACATAATAACATACTAAAAGTCCGAAAAAATCCAATCAGGGGAAGATTGTTCATTATAATGATATTTAATATGTTAAAGCCCCATTCCCGGCAAAATTTCATTTAAAAAAAAAATCTAATTTTTGTATAATGTTATAAAGATTTATAAATATAATACGGAATTGCTAGTTTAACTGAATTTAGACATTAAGTGTAGTGAAATATATGTAATGTCCTGGCAACGCTCGTCCGGGGTTCTCGATCATGGCGTGTGATCCAATAAACACCAGTACCGATAGTCTGTGTCCCGTGTCCCGTGTCCAATATTAACATTTAGAAAATCCACAAGTGGCAACATGGTGTCAGAAGTGTTGTAGCACCCATGATCGACGTGAGGACCGTGAGAGGTGTAACATTTCAGAGTTATAAGAAGAAACCGTGAGTACATTTCACCACCTCTACGCTCGTTAGGCGGGTGAGCAGTTGAACGCATCGTGGACCGCTTAACGAAGCAGATTTCATGACTCGGAGCCTAGGCCTAAGCCTAGCAATAGGAGCGGTAATATATTTTGAAAGAAATCCGCCTAGAGCACGCTAATACTTCCTGTTGTCGCCTATTTTTGGTGGATTGAGTAGCTGGATGTAGGTTGGCACGTACTAGTGTGTGTATTTAAAAAAAAAAAAAAAAAAAATACAGTACAGTATAGAGAGATGGCCTCATACTTGATTCCAGCTCCTTCACCCATGAACTGTAAAGGGCCTACCGAAAGTAATTGGAAAAACTTTGTTGAATCATACACAGATTATGCAACTGCAACAGAGCTAAATAAAAAAGATGCAAGCATCCAAGTTGCAACACTGAAATCATTGATGGGTCAAGATTGCAAAAAAGTACTGAAAGGGCTAAAACTTTCAGCAGAGCAGATGGCTGACCCAAAACAAATATTAGCTGCACTAGAAGAAATCAAAGCAGTTATGGACATGGCTGTGCCAGCCAATGTGGCAGAAGTACAGAGGTTGCTGGGATTTGTCAACTACTTAAGCAAGTTTCTTCCTGGTCTCAGTGACATGTGTTTTCCACTACGTCAATTGACATTGAAAGATACAACTTGGTGTTGGTTAGAGACACATACTGCGGCACTGGAACAGGTAAAAAAGGCTGTAACTAATCACCCAGTGTTGCAGTATTTTGATCCGTCCAAAGAGCTAGTTTTGCAAGCAGATGCTTCGGAATCCGGCTTAGGGGCAGCAATATTGCAGGACGGACACCCACTGGCTTATGCTAGTAGAGCACTGACGGACACTGAAACCCGATATGCTCAGATTGAGAAGGAGCTTTTAGCTGCATTGTTTGGCTTAGAGAAATTTCACACCTACACATATGGTAGACTTGTGAACATCCAGAGTGATCACATGCCTTTAGAAATGATCCAAAAGAAGTATTTACATAAAGCTCCAAAGAGGCTACAACGAATGTTACTGCGCATGGCAATGTATGACTATAGCATATGTTATACTCCTGGGAAGAGTATGTATTTAGCAGACACGCTGAGCAGAGCTTACTTAACAGAAACCGATGATACTGTTAATGGTCAATCAGACATGGGAGCTGTGAACATGATGGAATCATTAAATTTGGATAATGGCACACTGAAGGGTATTGCCACACTAATACAAGGTGATCCAGTTATGCAAGACTTGCAGAGAATAATCATGGAGGGATGGCCTCAAGTTAAACAAGAGGTCCCAAAGCAGCTTCACAACTACTTTGACTTGCGGGATGAGTTAGTTACACATGACGGCCTGATCTACAGAGGAGAGCGACTGTTTATTCCACCTGCCGCACGGAAGAATATGATGGAGCAGATCCATGCTGCTCACCAAGGTATACAAGCAAGTATCAGAAGAGCACGAGAGAGTGTCTACTGGCCAGAAATGACAACACAACTCAAGGACTATATAGGGAGATGTGAAATATGTACACAACATTCGGACCAACAGCAAAAGGAGACGCTGCAATCACATGAAGTTCCCAGGAGACCATGGTCTAAGGTTGCAATGGATATATTTTTTCTAGATGACCGAAATTATTTGATAACTGTAGACTATTTTTCAAATTACTGGGAAATTGACTACTTGAAGGATTTGCAGTCAGAGACGGTCATAGGAAAGGTGAAGAGTCAGTTTGCAAGACATGGAATTCCTGAATGTGTTATATCAGACAATGGAACACAATTCACCAGTGAGCTTTTCAGCCAATTCTCAAAGAAATGGAATTTTCAACATAAAACCTCATCGCCAGGATATGCCCAGAGCAATGGCAAGGCTGAAAATGCAGTTAGAACAGCTAAAAGGCTACTAAAAAAGGCAAAAGCGGATCGAAAGGATCCTTATTTGGCGATATTGGATCTCCACAACACACCGGATCAAGATGGCAGTAGCCCTGTACAGAAGTTGATGAGCAGACGTACAAGGAACCGGTTACCAACCACTTCAAAGCTCCTGAAACCAAAGGTAGAAAAAGGAGTGTTTGAAGATAAAGAACATAACATAAAGAACATAAAGAGAAAGAAAGAAAGGCAAGAGTTACAGTATAACAAATCAGCTAGAGACTTGAAGCCACTTGAAGTTGGAGATAAAGTCAGGATATTCCGATTTCACGACAAACAATGGAACTTGGAAGGCAAAGTTATCAGGTGCTTGCCCAACAGATCATATTGTGTGAAACTGAAGAATGGGAAACAGCTGAGGAGAAATAGGAAACATCTAAAGAAAGTATCTCATGACAACAGCAAATTCAGTGATGACGACATTGCTGACATGGATGACCCAGTAATCCATCCATGGCCAAAAGCACAAACACCAAACCAACAAGTGCATGAACCACAACATCAGCAACAAGTGGACCACCCTAATACGGAAACCTCGCCCGTGAAAACCAGAACGGGAAGAACAGTGAAACCTCCAAAATATCTGAAAGACTATATGCCATAATATAACACTATAAATCAATGGACAATATGACTAAATATCTTTATAACAACAGTAGAACATGCTGAACTCTTGCAGGAAAATGTTTATGAAAGTGTTAAAGTTTCATATGGAATATAATCACTAATAATTATATACACCATACAGCTGAATAAGATAACAAGACTCATAATAATAACGTTAGTATAGATTTAATATACTCGCATAGAATAACGTTAGTATAGATTTAATATACTCGCATAGAATACAATACATCTGAAAACATAACTAATGATATAATCTTTAAGTGAAAGCTAAAAAGCTTAAAAAATGAGGAAAGATGTAGTGAAACATATGTAATGTCCTGGCAACGCTCGTCCGGGGTTCTCGACCATGGCGTGTGATCCAATAACCGAGTACCGATAGTCTGTGTCCCGTGTGCTATTTATGAGTCCAATATTAACATTTAGAAAACCCACAAGTGGCAACACTAAGAATGAAAAAAATGTAAAATAAGACTGAAATTTGATTTTTTTTGTGTTCCACACAAAAAATAAGTGCGGATGAATTTTCATGTTTGATTTTGCGACAGGTCGTGAGAAGAAATATCGTAGGCGCCGAAAACATTAGCCTATCCAACGCTGCTAGGCTAGGCCTAGCCTTACCTCGATATAGGTTCTGTTATCACACATAAAAACGGCCGACATGATATTTTCCGTTGCTAGTAATGACACTTGTGAAATATAATATTTCATAGGAATTATTTCAAATTTGTTAAAAAAACTGATTCTGACTGAGATTTTGACACTTAAACATATCTCAACCTAACCGAACGAACCCATTGTGCGAGATGCGAAGTACAAAATCTAATCTCATTAGAGAGGGCGCACTTTATTGACTGTATAAAGTATACATAAAAGCGAGAGTATTCCAGTGGATGCGATTTACAACCTCTGAATTTGCCTAGTAACGATGAATTCGTCGAGAAAATGGTAATATTTTATGAGAAATAGTCTGTATTTCTTATTTTTTTTATTCTTTTGCGTAAAACTAAAATTCATGAAAATATTTTTTCATGATTTATAATAATTGGAATAATGCAAATGCATATTTTCTAAAAAAAGTCAGTTTTTAGTGAAATTTTGCCAGGAATGGGGCTTTAAAATCAAACGCTTTATTGCACAACTGCTCTACTGAAGCGTATAAACACATGTCGTTGCCACGTTGTTGCTAACAAAAAAATGTGAATTATAGGGGAATACGCCCGCGCACGATCCAAAGGCGGGGAACGCATTGGTTTGTCACGTTGCATGTTGGGATCTGTTGCCGAGTGATCTCCTTCTCAATAATACCTCCATGATTATACTATACACAACTATATTATTCCAACTCAGTTGCATTTTGATTGAGTATTGTAAAAAATGTTAATCGTAATTAATCAAAATGTAATTTAGAAAGTGAATTAAATAACAAGTATCAGTATAAAGAAGGACAACATACTGAATATTTGATTTTTATTTTTATATGAATTAGAACTATCAATTCCGTCGCAGATTTTAGCCAGGGGTCCCGAAGCCGTCAAAGCATTCGAAGATGCACTTAGAAACGGTACAATAACAGTTGTTAATTCAAGACTGATGTTTTTAGGTAAAGAAGGGTCTGGAAAAACATCTTGTGTCAAAGCCATGCTTGGGAAAGAGTAAGTACAATCAGATGTATTAGGTTTTGTACTTCATATGGATTTACTTTGCTTGCTTTTTTTCAGTTGGTTTTTACATTACAGTGTATGTTCGTTTGCTACTCAACTTTTAAAGCCCCATTCCCGGCAAAATTTCAGTTGTTAAGAAAAATCTAATTTTTGTATAATGTTATAAAGATTTATAAATATAATACGGAATTGCTAGTTTAACTGAATTTAGACATTCCTAAGCATGAAAAAAATGTAAAATAAGACTGAAATTTGATTTTTTTTTTTTTGTGTTCCACACAAAAAATAAATGCGGATAAATTTTTCATGTTTGATTTTGCGATAGGTCGTGAGAAGAAATATCGTAGGCGCTGAAAACATTAGTCTATCCAACACTGCTAGGCTACGCCTAGCCTTACCTAGATTTAGGTTCTATTATCACACATAAAAACGGCCGACATGATATTTTCCGTTGCTGGTATTGACACTTGTAAAATATAATATTTCATAGGAATTATTTCAAATTTGTTAAAAAACTGATTCTGACCGAGATTTTGACACTTAAACAAACATATCTCAGGCCTACTCGAACGACCGCATTGTGCGAGATGCGAAGTACAAGAAAACTAATCCCATTAGAGAGTGCGCACTTTATTGACTGTATAAATAAAGTATACATAAAAGCGAGAGTATTCCAGCGGATGCGATCTACAACCTCCGAATTTGCCTAGTAACGACGAATTCGTCGAGAAAATGGTAATATTCTATGGGAAATATTTCTCATTTTTTTATTCTTTTGCGTAAAACTAAAATTTATGCCAATATTTTTCCATGATTTATAATAATTTGAGTAATGCATGTGCATCTTTTCTAAAAAAAAAAAAAATCCGTTTTTAGTGAAATTTTGCCCGGAATTGGGCTTTAACATGCACACACAGTGTGCGCGTGTAGGTTTACTTAATTTTCTGTAGTAAAGTTGTTGCTAGGTGACGGGGTCGAGTGGCGGATGACATGGCTTTACTGTATTATTCAATTGGGATTTAATAGCAACTGCGAAATTTATTGTTGTTTTTGCATTATAATTTTTTTTGTTAATTTTTGAAATGCTAGAAATCAATCACTGTAATTATTATTTTTGTTGTTGATGAAATTATTATTCATTTCTATCATGATGATGACAAATTTCAATGAATAGATTTGATCATCATGAGCCGTCAACTGTTGGTATTGTTACAACTACTGTCTTTCAAACTGTCGGTAAAGATTACGACAAATGGGAGGAGCAGAACAATATGGACGGTATGATTTATAAATAATTAACCTAAATGATGTAATAGTAACAGGGGTGGATCCAGAGATATCCAAAAGGGGTGGGCCCTGAAAAGTGGAGAGGGGGAGGGTAAAAATGGATGCAATAGCCTAGGGGGTCAGAGAGCATGCCCTCGTGAAATTGTTGCCTTCTAAACACCTGAAAATAATCTCTGAGGCGTTTTGGGCTTCAACGGGGTCTGCACAGCAAAGGAAGCATAATATTAACTACCAGCTAAAGCTTAAAGTCAGACTCCGGAGGAAAAAATTTTTTTGATTTGTTGTAGAACTGATTTTTCTAAGACAGAAAAAAGTTGTTTGACGAAAAACTGGGGAACGGTGAACGAGCTACAGATTTTTGAATATTTAAAAACTGGTAGAAAAAGGGGCGTAACCGCCCACTTTTACACCTTTTTCCCCCAGTTTTTAAATATTCAAAAATCTGTATCTCATTCACCGTTGCTCAGTTTTTCGTCAAACAACATTTTTCTTCTTAGAAAAATCATTTCTACAACATATCAAAATTTGTTTTCCTCCGGAGCCTGACTTTAAGACCCCTGCCCAGATTTGAACCTGGTATTTTTCGTTTACTGTACACTCTAATCACTCCTAAGCCACACCGCCACATAATAATTTTATTACTACGTTCAAAGCCTCAATGTGTGATTCAGTTGATGGTATGCCATTAGGCCTACTATAAATTAATGACTTAATTTTCATGGGTAACTTTTCAATTTTGCACAGTTTATGACCAAACCAAGCAGATACTTGAGTACGGTATCGCAGCAGATGTTGCAAAGAAGTTGAAACAGCCAAACAGTGAACGAAAAACGTCTGAATTTGTATCTGGTGTAGAAATATCATCTTCATCCAGTTCTGTTGCATCTACATCTGCTGTGGTATATTTGCACTTTTTTCAATGACCAAACACACGTTGGCACACTCACAACCACAGTCCCTCCCACACACAATGAACGGTAATCCGAAGGTCTTGGGCTCGAATCCCGATGATAACATACTGTACATTTGTAATATTGATAATAAATAACATCATCTTTATCAGAAGTGGAGATGTTTCTCCATACCAAACTAGTGATTTATTGCATGTTATGCAATAGACCTACCTTGAGAAAAGCTAGGTGCGAATACTTCGCAACTATACTTATTATATTCAGAAAACATGTTTTTATGAAGATCTTGGCTTCGAATCTTGATATTAGGTTTTGTCAAATAGGCCTATGTATTTTTATTTTTAGTTATAACCAGTTGTATATTTTTCTTCTTTTTTTTTTTGTGATACCAAAGTAACTATAGAAGGAGAATAATAATAATAATAATAATAATAAGAATATTAAAAGAATAAGAATAATAATAAAGAATAAGAATAAAAGAATAAGAATAATAAAAGAATAAGAATAATAAAGGTTATAAAGCGCACATCTCCACCAATGGTGCTCAAGGGGCATTGTCAATTTCACCACAAAATAAACAAAATCCACATTCATTCCCAGAAGAATTGAGCAGAATCCGTATACCAAGTATCTCATCGAGGCAGTGTTGCTCCCCATAAAACATATGCATTGAGATTTATTTCCAAAAAAAGGGGAGGGGGCACATATATTGAGATTTTTAAATATTATAAAATAAATTATAGAATGCAAGCATTTTGGAAGTAGGGCCTATATAAACGGTATATTAGAGATTGCTATGCTGTATTTTATTTAAACGAAGAACCAGTATTTAATATCGTTGAAATAATTTGATTATTGTTTAATTTCAGATTCATTTACCAGAAGATTTTATGACTTGGGCTCAAAAACAGAGGAGAATCAAAGGTATAATATTATGCTTGATATTATTTTTATAATATACAACATCAATACTGGTTAAAAATGAGATAAAGCAAAAAATTGTGAGATCACGCATTCAAAAAAGTATAGAAATTTCTAATAATGGAGGCCATAGTAACAAGCAATTTTTGGAAAATCTAAGAGGCTCTAAATACCAAAAAAAATGATATTTCCAGTATAAGAATCGCCAACACAGATGTTACAACTAATGGTAAAGATATTATTAAAGAAACTGTAAAACATTATTGGGAATCATTAGGAAAAGAAAATGTTAACTCAGATGTAAGTGATAGTGAATGAATATGCACAAATAAAAGAGTTGTTAAACAACATTAAATTAAAGTGCAATGAAAACGACACAGAAAATGACAAATACATTTATACTATTAATTTCACTCTGGATGACGTAAAATCTGTGCTTGGTCAATGTAAAAACAACAAATACTAAAAAATGGAGGTAATTGTATGGAGTAAATGTGGAGTCTGTATTAATGAAACGCAAATGGGCTCCCTATTTTTTTTTCGATGTTGTACTATTAGCAAACTGTGCCAATGAGTTGCAGAGCATGTTAGACATTGCAAATGATTTTAGTAATAAATATACATTAAGGTTTAATCATAAAAAATCACATGCATTAATTGTGGGGAGGAGAGTGAATGATAAAAGACTCAGGCAATTGGGTGGAGAGAATATTATTGAGGTCAACACATACAAATATTTGTGGCAAAGACAAACCAAACCAGTCACAGGTCGCAAAAATCAATGTTTAGTTACTACAAGATGAAAGAGTAAAACAAGAGCTATAAAATGGTAAAAGAATCATTTTAATCCGACATTTCGTTATGAAGTTACAGGAGTTTAATATTTGAGAAATCAGCCTTCAAATTTTATGATTTCAGGCAGAAACCATCACCAAATCGTTAAAAATTGTTGTTTTTACATTGAAAATGGGGAAAATAACAGTATAGCATGATATATAGATATATAAAGGTTAGTTTAATGCAATAAAATAGATTTTTGACATTACAGTATGTTTTGGCCATTTTCTCTGAAACAGGATATCCGAGGACGGACAACTTTGGCGTGCCTTTGGCAAATTTTGACTGCACAATATCAAGAAATTTGTCTGGAGGTAAAAATAATATTGAACTTTTAGAACGTTTACAAATAAATATGGCCAGATTTATACTTAGGGCGCCAAGAAACACAAGCAAAGAGGTTTTATATGCGGAATTAGGATGGCAAACTCTTGAGGCTACTATGCAAAACTGCCAGCGTATAAAGTTTGTAAAAAGACTTGTAAACCTTGAAACCGATCAATCACATAAAACACTAGAAGCCATTTTAAAAAGTACTAAAGGGAGTTGGTTAAAACAAATTAAAGCAATTTTTCAAACGGTAATTATGATATTGAAAACTTAGATATTGATGATATTAAAAATAGCAGTGTCAATGGATCTTTGATTAAAGACCTAAATAAACACGGCTTATTTGAAAGTGCAATGAACTAACCATCATTAACTACCTATCTGCAAATTAAATCATTTCAAGGTTGTACAGACGACGGAGTAATCAAACACGAGAACTTTATTCAATTCCTTCTTTTGAACAATTTGGCGTTGCTATAAGAAACAAACAAAATACAAACCTTACAATAATTCAACACAATGTCATTTGCTATGCCTAATTATCAAAGCAGCTCATTAAACATTCTCATTTAATGTAATTAGCCTATAAAGTTCACTTCATTTCCTAGATATGTTACAAAGCATCCAGATTTAATTAAACGATTCATCATAAAGGTTTGGTATGTAAATAATATACAGATTCTATCAAATATTTCTTGCCATATCATAAATTTTAATCTCTCCGCATCATCATACTGTACATAAGTTTTTATTGAATCATAAATCCAATCTGAAATACAATTAATGCATAATAGGCCTACTAAAGTCTATATCGAAAATAATACATCCAATATATTGTGAATAGCCGATCTTCGACTACCTAATTAATATTCATGTTCATGTTCACTCAAACGTGAAGAAAGAAAATGAACAGCGATGTTCCTCAAGACCTACCAAGTTATGCGATCGAACTATTCGTAGTACGATAGCACATTTATACACTATATCGTATTTTTATCTATGCTTTCTATTAAACGTAGCTGCTAACCGTAAATCAGGAATACAGGATATATGTTATATTAATAATACAAATACTGTCTTATTGTGAAATTTATGTACGAAGTTTAGCTCGGTTTAACAGAAAATATGGCGTCCGCGCAACGTTCGTACGTGCGGTAATCAACGTTTGATTTAAAATTCTAATATCTCACAAAATCATCATTAAATATTAATTGTACAATATTCATAGGTTCGTATAAAACTCACCCTTTATCTGTCCTATTACAGAAACCTTGTAAACATTTCAAACATCAATCATTCTGGCCTTTTATGCCTCAACACTAACGTTATGTTTGCTAGCGTGAATCACGGCGTAGAGGGCGCTCAATAAACAATTAATTATTTCTAGACTTAACATTA